TATTAGTAGACATTTCTCTTACACTTTGAGACCTTAACGCATCAAATTGTACGTTAAGTTTTAAGTTACCCGTTAATATTTTTAATTTACAATTTGAGGTTAACTTAGGAACTAAGTAACAATACATAGGTAAAGTTTAAAAAAATACATATATTTAGTTCGGTTTCAATATCGCAGGCAGTTCAAACGGTTCCTTCGAGTGCGTTTATTCGCGCGACAAATTGCTTTTCGGTATTGCAGTTTCACCGACGTTTCCGGTTTATAGGTTTTTTTACGGCGACGTGCTTCCGGTGTCGGGGAAACCCGATCGAGAGGAATTTTGTAAAGCTTCTGTGTGAAATAACTGTTATTTTAGAAATAAAACTGTTAAAGCTTTCTTGATAGAAAATGTATGTTAGTATCGTATTTTTATTAAATGAATATATGTTTTGCATTTGGTCTCACGTGCCTTCTGAATCTCTGAAATTCCAAACAAATTATTTTCGGACAGCTAAGTCATTTGTGGGTACTTGGAGACATTCTTTCCCTACATTTCCCTTGTTTTTTCTTTACCCTCTGTTTGTTCTTTTGTGTTTATTATATCAATATTTCTGGTATTTTACGTATTAACATTTTTAAAAATGTGTACATTTTTTCTTATGTTACTTTTAACATATGTTATTTAAAAAACACACAGAATATTTTCGCGTTTTAACCGGATATTGAAAAATGACCGAGCCAAAGTCTATAATAAATACGGAAATACGATCCCGGGGTAAACCTATAAACCGGAAATATCGCTGAAGCTATCGCCCAAAACCATTTGTCGTGCGGATACAACGCCATCTATGGAACAAACTTCGGAATAATTTAAACAGAAAAAATGTATCTGTAAGAGATTTTAAAGTTGGTTTTTACAAAGATAACGAACCATTCTAAGAAAAATGGCTCAATATTCGCTTCTAAATCAACGAAAAATAAAATTGTAAAGCTACTCTTTGAAAAAAACAATAAGAGCAACAATTACGCGTTAGATCAGTCATGTCTAGCTTTTGTCTATATTAAAAAAATATAAGACTTGGAACATCTTTACTTTTAAAACCGACTCGACACACAATCCTTTGTAACTCAATATCATAACTAAATAATATTATAAATTGATGATTTGTATTTTAGTATATATTGCAATAACTAAAAAACTGGGCCGATTTTAAAAATTCCTTCATAATTAAAAAGGTAAATCATCTATGAGTAACATAGACTATTTTTTCACGGACGAAGTCGCCAGCAACAGCTTGTATGTATATAAAACTGTCTTAAACAATGATGAATAATTTGCTCACACTCAAAGAAATGTTCATTAAATTGTCATTAGTACGTGCGAAGAATCGTTAATTAACAAAGTTTTGTGCGAGGGAAGAGCGGAAAAAGAAAACTTACTTTGCTAAATAAATTACCAGATATCGGATTCCTTTAGTCAATGTTAATTACTATCTTTTGTAACAGAAAACATTGATATGATATATGAGAATCACATTAAAGGTAAAATAATATAAAACCTACTGGCATTTACAGAAAATCTTCATTGGAATAGTTTTAAAATTAAACTGCAACATTGCAAAAATTTAGGGTACTATAAAGAAAAAAGAATCGATTCCTTATCATATAAAAACGTCTTTTATTCATACAAATAATCTTAATAAATCAGAATAAATTAAATTACACTGTTAATTAGAAAAGCTTTATATATTTAAGGGCATGAGATACAACGTCAAAGATAGGCAACTTCACAAAACTCCCAATTCAATATAATCGCTAATTATGTCGTTTAATCTCTCAGCAAACAGGGGACTGGTCTTTGAATCCAAATATCCCAAATCATCTTCAACTTTCGGGATGTTTGCAACATCGATGGTAACAATCGGAAGTGTCGTTGTGATTATAAGAAGACCGTATGGCAATACCTGCGAAATAAAACAATGCTTTTCTATGAAATGTGAATTTAACTTAACAAAATAAATCCATCCACTAAACTCAACAATATTCGATGTTATAAAATTTTCAAATTAATAATCTTAACATAAGAATCTCTAGGGTACGAAAAACTACTAGTTAATATAAAAAATGCAGGAGTTTGGACGTAAGGATGTTTGTTAGAAATTATCTACGACATATAGATATACGTATAGATCTGCAATAAAGTAGGTATAGATGCAGTACACTGTTGGCTACTAAACAAGTTTTCTTTAAATACAGATGCAAAGGCAAACGCTATAAAAATTGTTAGTGTACCTCTTTTAAGTCATATTCAAAATCTGACTTCGAGTATATATCATTAGGTTGTAGACCAAATCTGCAGAAAGCGGCAGATAGTTCTGTGTAATAGTATCCAAGTAGCTGATGATAATATCGCTGTCGGAACTCCTTGTCTGAGCCATTATAAATGAAATACAATATATCTGTGATGGGATTGCCGCTCTGAAGCGTTTGGAAGTCTACAACTGCTACCTCGTATATTCCATTCTGTAAAGAGACACAGAGTACAAGAAAAGGTTAACTATTGAAGTCAAAAATTCTGGTTAAGGGTACATTTTTCTTATGTCATAAGGTGGTAGTACTCGCTTTAACATCTTCGCACGAATGGGCCAGCACGCCCGGTGTAATACCACGACCACACAGTAGACAGGGGTGAAATGGTACCAATGCCGTGTTTCGTCTGATGAATGTGGTGCCAGAGGCCTAATTAAAGTCCCTTTCTCTTTACCACCCTTTTCTTATGAGAGGATGGGAAGGGGAAGTGGATTTGACGATGGAGGAGATGCATAGGAAGGGGAAATATCCGCATTATGTGCGTCTCCTCCTCCGTCGGATAAGGGTAGGCAACGCGTCTGCAATTGCGGATGTCTATGGGCAGGTGTCTTCGCCATTTTGGCGGATTCAGGTCGCCACTTACTCGTTTGCCACCTTATGTTATAAAAAAAAAGCAAGCGGCCACCTGAATCCGCCAAAATGGCGAAGCGACAGCTGCCCTTACGCATTCGCAATAACGGATGCTTGCGTACCCTTAATTGACGGAGGAAACGCACATGACGAGGATACCCTTTCAATGTGTCTCCTCCTAGCGACAAATCCACGTTTCCTTCCCATTCCATTCTTATAAGCAAAAGGGTGGGAAAAAAAGGGACTAAAGGTGGGATCACGTTAAAACGGAAAGAGGATTATTTCTTGTCTACAATAATCTTTTAAAATAAGGAGAAAATTTAATTTATCAACAACAACGTTTGATTTAATATTATTCGATAGCTAATGAAATAAAAGAAGATACTAAAAATAATCTACTAGTGTCAAAAATATTGTGAAACAACAGAAACTCCGATAACATTATCACTGCGAAATGAACTATGACGAATTTAAATTGATAACGTTACAATTAATTCAACATTACATACCTCATTTATTCTGTACATTAAATTACTTGGCCTAAAATCTCCGTGAGCGAATACTGTTAAACGAAAAGGTTTAAAAAACTTTTCGTACGCTTCATTCTCCATAATTTTTTCTAAGAACGTAGAAAATCTTTCTCGATATTCGTCTTTAGCCGCCGCGATCGCATTTCCGATTGCTTTCTCCAAGAACATTTTCGGATACGTGAATTTCAAATAATTAGCCACTTCTTCAAACTTTTTCGGATTTTCTTTTCCATAAACTACTGAGAGAGAATGCAGTATCGCCAATTGCTTTATACACTTGGAAGCGTAGTCCCAATTAACACTGGTCAATCTGTCATAGTTAGAAAAATTCTGTTTCAATAAATTCTCCATAACTATAGTCTCTTTTAAATACTCTTCATTATATCCAACACATATTGGTACACGTAACTTATTCTCGTCTGTTATTTCATATTTTTCTTCCAAAAACTTGTACTCCTTTACTAAATGTTTATAGAAAAAGAATTCTTTCTCATATATTTCAACATTAACAACAGATCTCACATCTTCGCCTATTATCGCAACTTTACCAAATAACTCCAAATCACTGTTATTCTTTGCGGAAATAACGATTTCATACAATTTGTAAGCATAGTTAGCTCCATCACTTGTAGTTGTATGTATTTTAATTTCAGTTTTATCGTGTTTCTGTGCCGCTATATTGTTCACGACCTCGCGTATTGCCGCATCTGCGTCCGCCATACTTGTGTTTTACAACTAAATTCACATTGGCAAATGTCATATGCTATTTATAAATTGGTCTCATCGTGAGAGTGTTACTATAAACTCTGATATCTATTAAGTTTCTTGTCTTTAAACGTGTATGCATCAATATCCCACGTCAATTCAAATTATGTACAAAAAGTCTATTCTACTACAAGTTGACTATTGTGTTTCGTATCATATTTTTTACACCACAAAGATAAATTAGTTTGTTCTCGTAAAACAACAAAGTCATAACTCGTGACAATATCAGAAAAAACAGCAACATCACAATCATTTTTATAATTAACTCAACAAAAACCTGCTTACAAATTTGCCTAATTCTTACATCTAAAATTTCTTGTTCCTGAATTACGCGGATTGACGGCTTTAACGCCATACTGCGCAAACGTACGGCCTCTCTTTTACGCAGAGTTCGGGAGAGTACCAACAGCATCCTAAGAGGGCTTAGTGAGAAGCCTGACTGCCCGATCATGGGGCACTGGCGGCGCGTACATGCGCGTAGCCGGCATCGGGTCCCCTAGATCGTTTTAATTTTAGTTTCTCCTGTTTCTTTATATATGGGTGTGTGTAATGTAATATAATATGTATTGTTCTTGTAAATATCATATGTGTAATATTCTGTTACATGAGTTAAATAAATTATTATTATTATTACTGTGAAGTTTCAACACTAAACATCTATACCATACTAACTTTTGCCTTGTACTTCTTTAGCGCGGAATTTAAAAAAATCTGTAAGTGGCCAAACGTCATCTAGAACAGTTAAGCAGTTTTGGAGATACGTAGTAACAGATATTCAAAACTCTCGCATTTATAATAAAATAGTATCACTAGCTTTCGCCCACGACTCGTTCCGCGTGAAATTTAAAAAAAAATCAAAAGCGCGTAGCCCATGAGTTCTTCCAGACTATCCTCTACGTCTATGCCAAATTTCATCGAGATCCGTTCAATCCATCTAAACTTTCGCATTTAGAATATTAGAAAAAAAATTAGGTTGTGTAACATAGGAAACAGCCAGTTAATACATCAAGATGGTGAGCTAATCGTGCCCAGCAACAGTGACGAACAGTTCAATTACGATGTTATCCAACAAAAAACGACTATAGTTATTTACAAATTATTAAATCATCTGATTCAACAAGGCTTTAGATAAGGACAAAATATCATCACTACTCGTAATTTATTATCTTTAGATGTTAACAGACAAGATATACGTTAAAACACGTTTTATATAGTTTGGCAATTACATTATGTATCATATTATGTGAAAAATTATCGCAGTACAGACGTAAATGTAACTAAATTAATAACGTTAAAAAGTCTCTTTTTGCTTTTAGTTTAATTGAATCGAAAAAAGTGAAAAATGGCCGACGACGCTGAGAAAGTTTTGTACAGTAAACTGGAGTCTATTGCCAAGGAACAAGGGTATGAGAATTACACAACAGATGTCCATGAATTCAACACCGGCGGTGCTAACTACACCTCGCGTCTATACCACATTACTTTATCTGCACCAGGTTGCCCAGATCTCAACGTGTTCGCTAAAGTAGCGCTGCTCAGTGAAAAGATGAGATCAAAATTTCCGGTAGAGTTGTATTCCAATGAAATTCTTTATTATTCTGACATTCTCAAACGATTTCATGAGTTTGAAGAGAATTATAATATCGATACGAAGCACAGACTACGTTCCATCAAATGTTACGGATACAGCAATGAGTATTTGAAGGAAAATATAGTATTGGAAGATTTGACATCCAAAGGCTTTACCACTTTGGACAGGTTTCTGTGTGTAGACTGGAAGTACGCGTCACGCGCAGTCACCGAGCTGGCCAAGTTCCACTCACTGTCCATCGCTTTCAGACTCAAACATCCAGAGGAATTTGAGAATTTCAAAGAAAAGTTCCCTGTAATCTTTAATGAACATCTATTGAAAGACTTTTTTGATAATCATGCGTCAAAAACCATCGCTGCGATTAAAGAAGAAAATCGTCAACGACTTGCAGATTATCTGAAATCACAGGACTTTAACTTTTCTAAAATACCTATACGATGCCCGGTATTAGTACACGGTGACTTCAGGCCCAGCAACATAATGCACAAAGAAAACGAGGTAAGAATATTATGCCATAAAATTTTTAATATATTATCAAGCCAGCACAAGTAAAAAAGAGAAAATAAACTTTTTAATAAAAAAACAAAACCGACTTCCAAACAAAATGCACTAAAAACAAAACAAAATACACCAAAAACAAAATATTCTCAA